GTTGATATTGAAAACATTCTTTTCCTTGAAATAAACTGAACCTAAATGCAGAATAAAACTGTTGCAGTTACCCAACATGCGTCTTTTTTATATTTGATTCTGTATTCAATCGATATAATTCATGTCTCATTGGTTTATCTGGTAGCAAATCTGAGCCCTGTCAGTCAACCTGTTGATGGTCGCAGCTCTACTAAACCTCAGGGGGACATGAAATCACTGCCTTGTGGGGGTCTGGGGACACATACTAATTCTGTGCCTCAAGGGAACTCTTCACGTAAAGAAATGTTCTCATTGTGCACTTCATCCAGGTAAAAACCTGTATTTTCAACACACTTAAAAGGAGTCCCTGCTGCTATTTTTGCTGTTTTTCCCATGACAATCTCAGGGACCTGTGAACACTTTGTTCACCAGGCTGGCTCAAATGAGGCAAAGACAACATGCTCGGGGTGGGTCCTCAGTATCCTGTACCCTCAGTGTCTAGGGAAACACCCTTATAGGAATTAGAACCCCCCGGCATCTCAAAGAGACATTCACACTTAATTTCAGAGACTACCCTGGTCCCCAGCCCCAGAAGTTACCTGTTCACTTCTCTCTGACTCAGGTTTGCCCCTACCAATCCATGCCTTTCCTCCCCAGGATCACCCTTTCATATACCCCATAGCCTACAAAGCCCTTTAGAACAATGGCTCACAGTATGAAATGGGATCACAGACTGGCAGACTTGGAAAGATCATCAGATGACATCGAATCCAACTTTTTACTCTCTGAGGTGCAGAGAAGAAGAGTGCATTGCTTAGGGTCCTCCAATAAGTTTAGCAGAGAATTCCTATATTTAACAAACAACTGAGTGTCTGCTATATGCTTGACACTATTTGAGCTGCAGGAATAGAGCGATGAACGGAACAGACGAAACTCCCTGCATTCATGGAGCTTATATTCTAACTGGGGGAGACTGAGGTGATACATGCTATGGAATCAGAGACACTCAGTATTGGAAGGAATGTGGGATGTCATAGGGTCTAGATGCTTATTTGATATAGGAATTTCACAGCTTCAATATCCCTGGGCATCTGCAGCAAGTGCCAGTGACCAGCTTCTGACTATAACTTCCAAGGTGACTGGGCAGCCAGTTTCACTGGTGGACAGTTAAGTGGGGTTTTTTAGTTAGAAAAGTCATATCCTCCTAACTACTGACTCTTTTATTTCCTCAGAAGCACAAAGAATTATGAGCCTTGCTCCACTTCAGTCTATGTTAAACATAAGACCCCTACCTTAGCCAAAAGGTAGAGCAGGCCATGTTTCCCTTGGAAACAGGATACTCCATTGACTATTTCAAGGAGTAAACATATGGGTCATTGCAATGGCTTACAGGGTCTGAGTTTATCTTCCTTTCATCACCAGTCCCGTTACTGCCTCTTCTGACATCATACTTCTCCTTCACACTGGCCTTCTTACTACCCCTTATGCTATATTCACAGGCACCAGCACCCTTAGTTGTTTTCACCTGCTGGTACCTTTCTGCAGAGTACTCTTACCCAGTGGCCCCATCGCCTCTAGATCTTGATTCAAATATCACCTACCCTGGCTATCCTTTGTGAAATTGTACCTCAGCACATCAACACACTCCAACCCTCTTCTTTGCTTTATTTTCCTCTCTTTACCCCTAATTACCTACTATCATAGTGTATGTACGTGTGTGTGTGTGTGTGTGTGTGTGTGTATTTTTTTACTTATTTGGCTTATTGTTTGTACCCTTTCCTATGAACAATGTAACTTCTACACAAATAGGAATATGGTAATTTTGTTAATTTGCTGAATCCCCTACACACAGAACAACATGTCTGGCACAAGGTAGCAGTCAATAAATTTTTCTGTAATGAACGGAGTCAAGTCACCTTCTCTTTTGTGTTTGTGGTCAACTCAGGTTCCCTCTAGGCTCTATATCCTTCAGGCTTAATTGTGGGAAGGTCTTCATTTTCAGCAATTACCCTGATAGTCAATCCCTCAAGCACGTGGAGACTTCTGCAATTCGTGACTCCAGGCCCCTACAGGGACCATTTCTTCAGTTTGAACATAATGCTCACTCTCCCTTTCTCCTCCTCTGGATTAATCTGACCAGCTTTTCTTCTTTTTCCCAAGCACTGATACAGATGGGCAAGGCACTCTCTAGGAGCAGTACCTATGGCTAGGTAGGTAAGTTCTTACCAATGGAGGCAATAGCAGGAAGACCACTTTAGTCTGGGATCCAAGGCAGCTTCACCAATAACAGAGCCAATATTGTACTAAATTTCCACCAGAAATCTGGGTATTTCTCAATTTACTCAGAGCTCATAGAGTGAAAGAGTGTGACCAATCTGAACTTTCAAACCACTATGGAAACTGCATTGAATCAAAACCGTAAGAATAAATGTTAGGAGTGCATAAGGCAGTCAATGCACAACATGGAGACTTTGGTGTGGCTGCAGCATCAGTTTTTACTACTCAGGTCCACATGGGCCACTGCAGCAAAAGAATGTTCTTTTTTTTTTTTTGAGATTTTGTTTGAACCAGGAAATAGAAACATTTTTTTTTAATTTTTTAATTGATTTATAATCAATTTACAATGTTGTGTCAAATTCCAGTGTAGAGCACAATTTTTCAGTCATACATGAACATATATATATTCATTGAGACATTTTTTTCTCTGTGAGCTACCGTAAGCTC